AACAATCTACAGTCCACCACAGACATGCTCACAGACCAATCCAATAAAGACAGTTACTCAGTTCACACTCTCTCCCTGGCGGTTCTAACTTGTGGCCAGTTGACATTCAAAACTAACCATCACAATCACCAAACTCAGACAGGTATCTTGAAGTTAAAATGAGGTCTGTGAAGCACTCGGCACACGATGGTCAACAGAAGCATCACTTTGTACCAGTGAAGAGGAGGAAGGTGAGCAGAACAGGATGAGGTGCTAAGACGCTCACACAGGTCTCTCTCTCCAGGGTTTGAGGTTTACCAGCCTTACAGCTGTTGATTTTGCAGGTCAGTACCGCTGAGTTTGTTACATTAGTGTGCAACCCTTACCACGACCCCATCTGCAGACATCTTTGTCCACCTCTGTACACACTACGACACAATACCCACCCGCCCTGCTCTCAGCCGCCGTTCTGCTTCATTCTGCTTTCTGTTTCTGTGTATCTGACAACTTTCGGTGCCTCCTATAATAAGTTCCTGTAGTATATCTTTTTGTTGTTTTTCTTTGTTTCTTTTTGTCTGTTTGTTTGTTTTATTTTGTTTGGTTTTTTGAGGAAGGGTTCCTCTGTAGCCCTGACTGTCCTGAAACTCACTCTATAGATCAGGCTGGCCTTGGACTCTGAGATCTGCCTGCCTCTGCCTCCTGAGTGCTGAGATTAAAGGTGTGCACTACCACACCCATCTTATAGTATATTTTTTTGTGTCTGATTTAGTTGCTTAGCACAGTGCCCTCAGGGTTTATCCATGTTGCATGGATGTATGCGTGTATCAAACCTTCCTCCCTTTTAAGGCAGAGTAATAGTCTATTTTATGGAGAACGCATTTTGTTTGTCCATTCATCCAAGAGTGGACACTTGGGTTGCTTCTATGTTTTGTTCATTGTGACTTTTGCTGATATGAGCATGGATGTATAAATGTTTCTTTGAGTCTTGCTTTTAGGTTTTTTTGGGTGTATACCCAGAAATTGAGTTGTTGAGTCATACAGTAGTTCTGTTTTTGCGTTATGAGGAACTTCCATACACTTAACACATTCATTTGATAGGGAAGTATAAGCAATGAAGTTCCCCCAAGGGATAATAGGAAAACCAGTCTTGCTTCACATTTTATAAATTGCCTAAATATGAAACTTTTCCTATTAAATTTTATTTTCATGTATATATATATATATATATATATATATATATATATGTATAGAATGTAGAAAAGGGGCGAGAGCAGAGAAGTGTTTAATAAGACTTAATAAATGGGTATACGTAAGGGGTTACGCCATTATGTATTCCTTCCCCAAGGACAGAGGATGAAATCCCAGTTCCATGTGTTAGTGCCTTCTTTCTGGAGGACGCAGGAACTTCCAGTGTCAAATGCATGAAAGCATGCAGACACATCTTTTTCTCTACTGCTTGGTACCAAAGAGTAAGTTGACACTTGACTTGAGACTGGAGGCCAGTGCTCTCAACTCTGACTGTCCCGTGGGAGATTTAGGCAGTGTCTGAGGACACCTTGGGTCATCCTAGCTGGAGGGGAACTACTGCAGCTTGTGCTCAGAGACCAGAAACGTGCAGCAGTAACCAGGAAAGCTCAACAAAGAACCATCTCAGGGACTGGAGAGAGGTTCAGTGGGTAACAGCACTTACTATTCGAGCATGAGGACGTGGGTTCAGGTCCCGACGCCTGCATGGTCAGGCGTGGTCATGTGACCTGCAGCCTGAGCACTAGAGAGTGGAGATGAGAGAATCACTCCAGTTTGCTGGCTGCCAGCCTACCTCCAGGTCCAATAAGAGAACCTGTCTTGAGGGAGTAAGGCAGAGAATAAACAATAGAGCAGGACACTTGGTGTCCTCTTCTAGCCTCTGAATGTACACACATAGGCAATCACACTGTACACACAGGCAATCGCAACACACACATACATACCATCTCAAGGCTCGGACACCTTGCTTCAAACCCTTTCAGCCTTGTCTTTAGTCTCTCTCTTATAGAAAGCTGCTATCCCAGCCAGGCCCAAGGACTCATAAACCCACCCGTCCTATAGCTGAATTGCTTTTTCCTGGGCCTTTTCTGGCCTCTTGTGGGCTGGTCCAGTAGTTCTATGCTTTCTTGACAACAGAAGGTAGTACTTCCTACTGTCCTGGTTTGTAAGAAAGTAATTACAAGTATTGTTGATATGATTTGGTTTGGAATTTGAAGTGCCAGGTTGGACTGGTAGCACAGGCCTATAATCCTATCCAGTTGAGAAATGAGACAGGAGGATTGTGAGTATAGGGCTGCCCTGAGCAATTTAACAAGAATATTTCTCAAGAAGATAAGCCCTAGGGACATTGGTCAGTTGTGCTTGTCTAGCATGCACGTAGCCCTGGGTTGAATTCCCATGACTATAAACCAGTTATGGTGGCATGTACCTGTAATCCTACTGCTTGGGTGATAGAGGCACGAAGATCAGAAGTTTAAGGTCATTTTTGGCTACATAGCAGTTCAAGGTCAATCTGAGATACAATGAGTCAAAAATTAATTTTGAAGTTGAAAGGGGGACTGGGAAAAATGCTTGCACAGGCCTTAGGTTCAAGCCTCAGTACTGCAAAAGAGTGTGAGGCGCCACCCTCTAGACCCCAGTGAGCACCTCTGCCTTTACCCGCCAGGACTTTCTATGGCAGCTTCCCTGTCATCCTGGGTAGTGGTTGAATCGCCTCTGCTCCATCCCAGCTGTGCTTCAAGATTTAGCTTTGCTTGGAGAACCGCTGGATGGATGGAACCTGAGCCCAGTGTGAGCTTCATGCTAAGGAAAGGATTTATGTGGTATTTATGCTGCTTGGATGGGGATTGGTTCACGTGGCTGGACCTACTTAACGCCAGCCAGTGTGAGGACGGTCAAATGGGTGGTGAAAAACCTCTCTTCTTGTGCAGAACCCAGCATGTACCAGGCACCAGCCAAGGCATGTTACGTTCAGTTTTCTTTCCATCTAGTTATCTCAGCCACTTACTCCTATAGTTTCTGGAGGGAACCTGAAGCTTTGAGGAGATCATTTGACAAGGACCACTTAGCTAACAACAGCGGGGCTGGAATTTAAACACCACCTGTCTGAGTTGGAAGCCTCAGCCACCACCTCATTGTCCTGAGGATCCCAAACCCCTCTGCCATTGCTAATAGAAGACCACGAGGCCACAGACCAGACGGCAGAGACCCCTTGTGGTCTCACTAGTGAGGTGGCTGAGTTGTCCATCTGCTGCTGTGAGGACCAGCCTTCAGCAGCTCAGGGATTGAAGGGGAGCCCTGGAGTCAGTGGACTAATCACTCCATTGACTTTTCTGTCTTTTAAGGGAGTAAAACTCAACTCTCTGGGGCCAGCAAAAAAGGGACACACACACACACACACACACACACACACACACACACCCCTCCAACAGGTCAGGATCTCACCCAGGCAAGCCTTCAGCAGGTCGGAGAAACTGAAGAGGAGATGCAGAGCAGGCAAACTACTGGACAGACAGACAGACACACAAGGACTTTTCTGAGGGCCAAGACTTAGTTCTTCATTTTATTATTCTTCCTGTTGCTTGTTCTGCTCTGTTTCTTTTCTGTTCTGTCTTCTACCCTGACATTTTCCTTCTTGTTGTCATTATTTTTCCCTTACAGCTTATATACTCCAGCAGCATCTTTCAGCAATATAAAAATTACAATATGGTTACATTCTGTTTTTTAAGTGAGTGATAACAGTGAATACGAGTAAAAAGCAACATGTTTCCCATTTCCCTTACATGATTAAACTTTTTCATATTACAGGTAAAAACTAAATTATTCCCAAGAACCCACACTCAGTTAAACATTCATCTTTTAGACTTCTCATAGAGCAAGAGCCTTTCAGCCATAATCATTTACATAGGCAGTAGCTTTTATAGTTGCCACAAAAATGGGTTATTTGTTTTACTTTTTATATTTTAGAATCCTGTCCAATTACTTAACTAACCATCCAATTCTTTGTTTTCTAGTTACACAAAGTCAATTGTTTAAAGCTTTGTTTTAAATACTGTGCATGCTGAAACCCATGAATACATTTCCCATCATTAGAAAGAACTTGAGTTAACTCCTGGGACTCTATTGTTTTTCTTAATCATTAACCTAAGCCACAGTCTATACAAATCCTCGAGTAAAACTCTTTTTTTAAAAAAATTATTTATTTATTTTATATATGTGTGTGCTCTGTTGACTTTTTACCAGAAGAGGGCATCAGATCCCACTAGAGATGGTTGTGAACCACCATGTGGGTGCTGGGAATTGAACTCAGGACCTCTGTCTGGAAGAGCAGCCAGTGCTCTTAATAGCTGAGCCATCTCTCCAGCCCCTCAAGTAAAACACTTAAAGTCCTAGCTGTGTGTTACTTTTTTGTTCTTATTTTCTATCCTCTATAGCCCCTGCTTTATCAGGGGCGGGGGCAGCACTATATCCTATCTTTACCTATATTAATTTTCCCACTAAACTAACCTCCATCATAATCCCTTCTCATTTGTTAAAAACCTTCAATCATCTATTTAAACCAACACTATTATTGTATAAAATCATTACTTCAGTTAAACCGTACAGCTTAAAAGGAAATCATCTTCATAATAATCCACAGATAAAAATGCTCAGTAGAATGGGATATTTCCATGAGATAATCACACTACATTAAAGGCAGTGGGGACCCCCCCCCCCCCCCCCCCCCGCACCCATTCACACCATGCCGGACACCAGAGAAAATGGCAGCAGCAAACATGTAAAGGCGCAGCAGCAGCAAGAGGTATCCTGGAGCCGAAGCCCTCAGGGCCTTGCCTGTCCGAGATCTGGCCACCTGTGCCTTTCGTTCTAGTGAGCCCGACCCCTCTGACGTGGCCACCGGCTGGGATCAGAATGTGGCCTGTCTGACCCCTCTTCTGCTGCCACCGAAGGAAACCGCTGTGCTGGGCTGAGTCGTCTTGTTGCCTCTCTTCTAGGTCCACTACATCCTCCAGGAGGTGGTGATGGGTGGGATGGTGTTGGAAACAAACATGAATGAAATTGTGGCTCAAATTGAAGCTCAAAACAGGCTGGAGAAGTCGGAGGTAAGGAAGTAGCTGTATTTGTGCCCTGGCTGGGTAGAGAGCGTTGGGCAGAGGGAGGGACGTGTGCTTGTGTAGCATGTGTGGCTTGTGTGGCTTGTGTGTGCTGTGTGGCTTGTGTGTGCTGTGTGGCTTGTGTGTGCTGTGTGGGCTTGTGTGGGTTTGTGTGTGCTGTGTGGGCTCATGAGGTGTGTGCTGTGTGGGCTTGTGTATGCTGTGTGTGCTGTGTGGGCTCATGAGGCTTGTGTGTGCTTATATGGCTTGTGTGGCTTGTGTTTCTCTGGGTCCTTAGGAGGTGGTTCCCACTCTGTCTTTCTTGATTTATCTACACTAACTTGAAGGCTAGTATAAACATGAAACAGGTAGGGCAACTTGAGATGTCAGCCTTCAAGGATAGGCAGATGGCAGAGAGAGCAACCAGCTTCTGCAGGACGGATGCTTACAGCCCACATTTGCGGTGCTTGTGTGCATCTGTTCTCCCAGAAGCCGTGTCCTGTGGTATCTTAGCCTTGAGAAATTCAAGATTCTGTGTTTTCAGTGAGGCTTCTACAAAACTACAGTAATGCTGATTTGAAGATACCACACCCAGCCGGGAGGTGGTGTGCACACCTTTAGTCCCGTCACGGGGGAGGCGGAGGCAGGCGGATCTCTGAGTTCAAGGCCAGCCTGGTCTGCACAGCCAGGACTACACAGAGAAATCCTGTCTCAGAAAACAACAAAGAAAATACCATACCCATCCCATCCTCATGTGGCACCAGACTTGATGGAGGAGCTCCTGGTAAAGCCAGGCCTGTCCCACTGTGGTCTTGGCCCTCCTCAGCCCTCACAGCTGCAGAGACAGTGTAACAGTGACACCTCTATCTGAGTGTCTTCGAGGGTTTCTTTGTTGTGTGATGGAACCTGCCTTAGAAAACCAGTTCTTCCTGTGAGGACTGCTTATCCTGTTGGAGAAGCTTTTCCAGCCACAGCTCTGGCTGTTGAGTTTGCTGAGGAGTGCAGGCTGGGAAATGAGTGTTTCCAGGCTTAGCCTGAGTCAGGCAAGGGTCTGGAGACCAGAGACCAGGGGTGGGGTGAGGGGGGGAGTGGCCTGAGAGCTGCCGGTTAGGGGACAAGGATTTTCTGCAGTCTTCCTCACTTCTCCCTCTCTGCTCCAGGGTGAGCCTGGGGTGGGTTAGCCCCCTGTATCTGCTGCAGCTTCCCAGGGCCTGTTAGCACTCTCCAGCCTGTTGCCCCATCCTTTTCCAGCTCACACTAGTGGGCAAGCAGTTGTCCCGAATCTGACATTTTTTTCCTTTAAAGAATCTCTCCAACTTTGCCCTTTTCTGTAAGGTGGACTCTTGAGGAAAGGTTTCCTTTTGTTTTGCTTTGTTTTTTTTTTTTTTTTCCGTTTTTTTTTTTTTTCGAGACAGGGTTTCTCTGTGCAGCTTTGCGCCTTTCCTGGGACTCGCTTGGTAGCCCAGGCTGGCCTCGAACTCACAGAGATCCACCTGGCTCTGCCTCCCGAGTGCTGGGATTAAAGGCGTGCGCCACCACCGCCCTTGTTTTGCTTTGTAAATTGAGTATCCTCAATACTTAGATAAACAATGTCAGAGTCCCTTAGCAAGCGTTAATTGAGCATCTACCATGGGCCACGAGCACTGTTAAATGCTGCAGCTATAACACTTCATAAGACAGCCCCCTTTGCAGAACTTGTAGTGTGTGTTGGGGGGGCAAAGGCTGTGTCTCCATGCCAAGCTCCAGCTTTCTAAGTGGGGTTTTGTTGACCACCTTTGAGGAAGAGTGAAGTGAAAACGTCTGTGTGTGCCATTTGGAACTCTCTAGTTCTACGTCATCTGGTTTAAGATTTCAGCAGATAACACTGGGAAAGCAACTGACACTCACCCCCCATTTCTCCCAGGGTGGCCTGTCAGCAGCCCCCGCGAGGGCCGTGTCTGCTGTGAAGAACATCAACCTTCCTGAGATCCCGAGGAACATCAACATTGGCGATCTCAACATCAAAGTTCCCAACCTGTCCCAGTTTGTGTGAAGGTGGAGGACTGGGCTGAACCAGGGTCCTTAGGATGAGCAGAGCAGTCAAGTCCAGAACCAGAACCCTGCCGAGCCTTCAGAGTCGCACCTGGGACACTGAGCCTTTCACAGAGTGGGAAGGGAGTTGGGTGCACACTGCTCGGCCATCCTGCTGCTCTCTGATATCCGTGGCCGTGGTAGACATCAGCGCACTAAGCCACTGCTCTTTTGCCTCCCACACACAGCTGCCCTCAGGTTGGGGACTGTGGAATAGGCCACTTGCTTCCCAGGACCCCACCACTGGGACTGAACACATCTGACTTCCTCCCTAGCACCTGGGGCTTCCGAGATCCTGTATCACTTACTGGGCAAGAGACCAGGAAGAGGCCAGCCTTTCCGATGTGAGCTGTGGCAGGTGAAGGCAGGGGTATGCTGGCTCTGCGGGGGCCTCTTCTCCTAGAATCCCTTTGTAGAACCAACTCTTTGGGGTGGCATTTCTGCAGGGCATCCTCCCCCCCCCCCCCCCCCGCATATTCCCAGTGTGCTGGACACAATTGAAACCACACCGTGGGTGCATGTCACCACCCCTGCCATAGGGAGGGCACCCCTACACACACACACACACACACACACCCTAAAGCCCTCTTCTAGATGAGAGACCGGTGTCTGTAGAATATGAAAGCTGGATCCTCCCAGAGTTATGACTCATCTCAAGTTTAAAATACGCTGTCCTGGAAACAGAAGGTTCAGTGGCTGCGTTCTGAATGATGAACCATTTCCCCTTGCTCAGAAACCCACTGACCAGTCTCAGACTCTAGAGCTGAGAGCCTGGACTGGGTGCTGTGTGGGCGGAGCCTGCAGCATGCTGGCCTTAGACCCGTGTGTTCTCCAGTCTGCATCCTGCAGTGGGCACACTGGCTCCTTTGGGCAACATTCTCCAATACTTTGGAAACATGTAAATGTTAACATGTGCTGAGTCGTCGTCTTGTGACTAATTTGGAGCTAATGCTGCCGCTGGGGACAGGGCCTCTTCTCCATGCTGTCACGTGGGTCTCAGGCACGGTGGTGAGGAACTGATACACCTTCATGGGGAACTCTCCCAGCCCAGGCCCCTCCCCTCCTGCTGGCCAGGCCCCTAGTCCATTTCCCACAGCCTTGTAGTGTTGCTGACGGTCCTGGGAGAACCCTGTGTCAGGACCCAGCATTGATGGTCCTGGAGAGCCCTGTGTCAGGACCCAGCGTTGATGGTCCTGGAGAACCCTGTGTCAGGACCCAGCATTGATGGTCCTGGAGAACCCTGTGTCAGGACCCAGCATTGATGGTCCTGGAGAACCCTATGTCAGGACCCAGCGTTGATGGTCCTGGAGAACCTGTGTCAGGACCCAGCGTTGATGGTCCTGGAGAACCCTGTGTCAGGACCCAGCATTGATGGTCCTGGAGAACCTGTGTCAGGACCCAGCATTGATGGTCCTGGAGAACCTGTGTCAGGACCCAGCATCCCTCATTTCCCAGCGGGGCTTCTTGCACTCTGCCCACTGCTGCCCGCAGCGTCTTGTCCCGCCCCGCCCCTTCTACCCTCTGTTGGAGCTGCAGTGTGGGCACTTTGCTGAGGATGAGATCTGAGACCAAATCCCTGATGCCATTCTCTTGAAGCATTGTATTTTTATTTTACATTATTTTATTGCCACTTTAGTACATTCCTGCCCCTCTTACAATGGCTGGATATGAGGTAGGAATGAGGAAAACCAATGTTTTTCAATCTGCTGTGGGGTGACATGAGCAGGATCCTTTAACAGTCCTTGCCACAACATTTTATTTTTTTAAGATTTATTTTGACAGGCCGTGATGGTGCACACCTTTAATCTCAGCACTTGGAAGGCAGAGGAAGGTGGATCTCTGTTAGTTCGAGGCCAGCCTGGTTTACAAAGCAAGTTCCAGGACAGCTGTTAACAGAGAAACCTTGTCTCAAAAAAAAAAAAAAAAAAGATTTGTGTTGTGCATTTGTGTATACGGGTATGCTCTGAGGCCAGAGGAAGGTATAGAATCCCCTGGCAGGAGGTTGAGAAGCCACCCAAAATATGGGTGCTGGAATCATACTCACTCAGGTCTGCAGGAGCAGCAGTGCTCTGAACTGGAGCCATCTTTCCTGCCCAGCCACGGACACTCTTAAGCACATGTTGTTGCCAAATAAAGCAGACTTGGGTCAGGTAAATTGCATCTAGGGCACACAGGGCTAGGGTTTGAAACATGCCTGCCTGGCTCCGAGGTTCTTTTTTTCTCCTTACTGTTGAAGCTAGCTTTTCCCAGTTTCTCATCCCTCCCTTTTATAGATGACAGACAGGGAGACTGTGTCTCAAATGGATTAAGCCACTCTCAAAAACTAATAAAAGAGGCTTGATTTTTACGGTAGCCAGCCTAAGAGCTGGAGGGTCCTCCGTGCCTCCAGAGTGTGTCGGGTTGGGTCACGGTGTTCTGAAGTGTGCTTGCTGTTGGCTGAAGGCACTATTGAGTCAGAAGCACTGTGCTTCCTGGGTAGTTCAGAGTTGAGCTCTTTGCCTGCTAGAATCTCCTTTGTTCTCCAAAACTATGGGCTGGCCCTGTAGACTGCCACAGCAAGCCCCAGACAGTGACTTCCACCATCCCCTTACAGTGTTGCCTTGGGCTCGCAAAACTCAGTTCCTCTAGTCAAGCTGAGGGATTAGTTAGTTAATTAATTGCTAATAACTTGCAGCTAGTTTGTCTGCTACCAACAAAGCCATAGTCTGAGATCTAGCTCTATCTCCCTCTCCCCTCTGTGTTTTGAGACAAGGGCTCACTTTGTAATGCAGATTCTCAGTCCTCCTCACCTCCAAAATCCTGAGATCACAAGTGTGCACCTTTCTGTGGAGGAGTTAGAGGAAGTCCTTGGTCTTTTGGAGAGGAACGTCCGCTTTGCTCTGAGACATCAGTTAGGCAACAGGGGCTGGGTTTGTGTTTGCTTTGGGATCCTGGACCTGGAGAGTTTACACTGAGGCTTCCTGGGTTTTCTCTCACTGCCACTACTTAAAAACTGGAACCCTCCCACAGCCCATCTTCTGTGTAAGTGCCCAGGGAGGGTCAAGGGTCAGGCTTGGTCCTAAACTGAGAGAGAGGCTCTCTGAGCTTTCCTGACAGTGCTCACATAGTTGGAACATGAGAATCTGACTGGCAACCTGGAGCTGTGGAGGCCAGACTCAGGGCCTGCTGTGTGGAACATTGAAAGGACATTTTCCACCCCTGACTCACCAGGGTCATACCTGCCGCGCAGGGTGCTGGACAGATCACCTTCCCCCAAGCCTGACGATGGCCCCATACATGTTACACTGAGGATATCTTGAGTCTCTCAGGCCCTGAGTATTCATGCTCTGCCACATGCGGAGCCAGCCTTCCCTCATCACTAGAGAGGCAACCTAGCAATTTTCTCTGTGACCTCAGCTTCGGAAAAGAAACTAGGAGAATTGGCTCAAACCAGGTCCCTGGCTCCATCTGTGGCCTGGCCTGTAGAAGGCTTTGCTTAGCATGACTATTTGTGTATGTCTTTTCAAAGAGGACTCGGGAACAGGTACATGAAAGTAAAGCCCCAGAGTAGGGTCGTGCCCACCTTTACAACAACCAGGGTGGAGTGTTGGGACCCACCCAGAAGGGTGTAGGCTCTCTGCAGACATCCTGGATGTTCACTGCTCTCAGTGTGCTGACCACCCAGAGGGAGCCAGCTTGCTGTGGGAGCTGCCTCGCTGGGCCCCACCTGGGCTCAGATCTCAAGGTCAAAGTGTTTACCTTCTCGGAAGCTCTGGAGCGCCTGTTCCCTGCACCTTCTAACACAAGTGGCCGCTGAGGAAAGAGCTTGATGGGAATGATTAATCCTTTCCGGAGGTCTTTTTCATTGCAGTTTTTCCTTCCCAAATATATTCATGAAATATATTCATGTAGTTCAGCATTTCTATATGGGGAGGGGAGGTGCCCTCAGAGACCAGGAGGCATTGGAGCTCTTGAGCCGGAGTTAAATGGTTGTAAACTGCCTGACATGGGGGTGCTGGGCCAACCTTAGGGTCCTCTAGAAGAGTAGCAAGGGCTCTTAACAGGCTGAGCCGTCTCTCCAGCCCCATGCAGTTCACATTTTAAGAGAATAAGAAAACAAGTTTAGCAGAAGACAGCCCATTCCCAGCCGCCTGAGCTATGGCCCCCTGACAGCGAGTATTTGCAGTTTAAAGGAGACGAGACAAGCGTCCTTTCTCTTCCCTTTTAACACCGAGGACACAGCTGCCGCCGACCTCAGCCCAGCGCAGTCCTGCTATCTATCCTCCAGAGGTGCGGAGTCCCTGCACGCGCACCTCCCCCCCACGCACACGCACACCACCCCCTCTCCCCCTACCCCCGTGAAACAGCAGCTCCTCGCCTTTCTCAGCCTTACCATTCCTCAAGGCACTGTGACGCCGTGTTTTTTTTTTTTTTTTTTTTTTTTTTTTTTTTTTTTTTTGGTTTTTCGAGACAGGGTTTCTCTGTGTACTTTTGCGCCTTTTCCTGGAACTCACTTGGTAGTCCAGGCTGGCCTCGAACTCACAGAGATCCGCCTGGCTCTGCCTCCCGAGTGCTGGGATTAAAGGCGTGCGCCACCACCGCCCGGCGACGCCGTGTTTTTAAGTTGTCTGTTGTCCTAGGATGTAAGTTGTCCTAGGATGGAAACCCTTAAGGGCAGGGGTCGGCCCCCTACCCTGTGCTGTACCCCAGCAGCTCTTCCCAGTGCCTCGGCCATACTGCTCCGTTAAGAATGGTGGGTGAGTGGTGGCTGAGGCGAGCAGAAGTTCGTCCTTAGAGTCTGTGGACCTGTGCTTCCCAGGACTGAGGTGTGGGGGTGGGGGGGCCCATCGCTGCAGGTGGAAAGGTGGAAGATAGCAAGGGCCGTATGGAGAGGAGGGCGGGATGCAGGCATGTTGAGTTGGAGTTCCCCGGGGGTCACGCCTGCTGTGAATGAGTGGACAGGAGAAAGTGGGTCCATCCCTGAGATGTATGTAGTTGTTTTAACTTAGGCCTGTAGGCCCAATTAGAGTGGGGTCAATGTAAGGACCCCCTGCTTCCTTTGAGAAATAAGATCAAGAACAAAGTGACGGGGCAAGGGAGAGAGTGAAGGATATGGGCAGGGAAGAAGAACGTCTGGACATTGGGATGATATCAAATCCAAGGAGAGCTGCTGATAGCAGTGAGAACAGGAAACACCCTGGTCAGACAGGACAGGGACTCCAGAGCCACAACTCCAGGAATGCCCTGGGGGCCAGGGAAGCCAGAAGAGGTTCCTTCTGTTCCTGCCTGGACGCTGTACATGAGGATGTGACGGGAAGTGCCGAAGTACCTGCTCACCTCATGGGAGGGTCATCTAATCCTCCTCCTCCCATGCTTTATCCCAGGCTTTACCACGAGTCCCTTAATAAGCCCTGACCTAGCAGTTCTTTTTTTTTTTTTTCCAAGACAGAAATTCTCCATGTAGTTTTGGTGCCTGCTGTCCTGGATCTCGATAGACCAGGCTGGCCTCGATCTCAGAGATCCTCCTGGCTCTGCCTCCTGAGTGCTGGGATTAAAGGTGTGTGCCACCACCGCCCAACTCGGCATCTCATTTCTAGGGCCCACTCTTACTATACAGCTTAAGAAACTATCGATGACGGTAATAAAACTTCCTAAAACTCCCCCTCTGTGGCCCATGCATTTCATTCTTCAGTTGGCATGGTGAGACCCAGAAGGCTACGGGCTCAAGTGACTTGTGTGGCCATCAAGTTTTCCAGGACCCCAGCTCTCTATCCCCGCACCCCAGCTAAGCTCACCAGGAGCCAGGAAATGCTCTGCCACTCTCGAAGATACTCCTGTGTCTGTCAATGTGGAAGTGACTGCGAAAAGATGTCTTCCTACTTGGAGCTGCCCAGCCAAGCTCCCAGCGGGGCCAGCAAAGCCAGCCCTCTGATTCC